TTACATGATGTAAAAGAAAAACACAGCTCAGCAAATTCAAAGAGCTTGAAGACAACTGATGAGAAAATACTATACTGTCCTGTGAGAGATATATTGGGACTGCTTAGTTTTTGCAATTGTATGAAATTAATAACAAATTCAAACTAGGAAAAGTATGACAGATTCTAAGGTGATCCCCATGATCCTCTTCCCTGGTATGTGCCTTTGTGTTTTGAATTCTCTTTGAATGTGGGTGGAACCTCTAACTTGCTTTGAACCCAAAGAATATGGCAAAGGTGATGGTACATCACTTCTGTTACATAAAACTGTAACATCTGTCACATTGAGAGACTGTCTCCCTTACTGGTCTTGAAGAAATAAGATGCCATGTTTTGAGAGAGTGGCTCTGGCTGACAGCAAGGAACTGAATGTGGTCAGTCACCCTGGGAGATTGAAACAGATCCATTCTCTGCCAAACCTTCAGTGAGAACCCAGCCCTGACTCACTCCTGGACTGTCTGCTTGCAGAGGACCCAGAAACTGTGAGATAATAAATGTGTGTTCTTTTCAAGCTAGCTAAGTTTCTGTTAATACTGTTACACAGAAATAAGTAACTAATACACACATAGGTAGTAACAACACATGTGTAGTAACAACTACACACATAGGTAGTTGTAATTCATTGTTTAAAAGCGTATCACTCATCTCTTATTTCTAGAATGAGAATTACATAATTAATCTAAGAGATTAAAAATAATGTGTTCTTAAATGTCACATAACTTGTATCTTAATTACTGATTTCTATTAAATCTCTTTAATGCTTCATATCTCTACATATAGCTCAAGATCCTTTATGTAAAAAGAGGCTGTGTGAACTTCAATATTTATGCTATGCTTTCACTTTTGATACTTTTCAGGTGCACCAAATTTACATGTGAGCCAGACTGTCAGAACACTATCTAAACATAAAACATCTCAAAACCTTTCCCAGTGTAAAGAATGAAACATGTTTTAAGAAAACTCTATATTTGATTTTCAAAGCATAGGTAGGAGTCCCTCAGTTCTTCCTCAGAGAATGGCCTTTTACATATTCATATTCATTTATTTTGTTGCATTCCAAAGGTCTAAAGTAGCCCTATCATGGGTTTTCTGGCAGTGCTCACTGTGTGCAGTTTCCAGTTACATTGCTTCTGAAACTGTAAACCCACTACTCTGTTACCCCACACACAAGTGCATGTACACACTGGTACACATAACTGTCTTGGTAAATGAGAAAATTATTAGAAATATTCACAACCTATAGTGAAAGTTATTAATTAACGAAAATCACCTTCATACTTTGGTGGTGGTGGTGGTTTAGTCACAAAGTCGTGTCCAACTCTTGTGACCCCATGGACTGTAGCCTGCCAGGCTCCTCTGTCCATAGGATTGTCCAGGCAAGCATACTGGAGTGGGTTGCCATTTCCTTCTCCATGGGATCTTCCTGACCCAGGAACTGAACCCAGGTCTCCTGCATGGGGCAGGCAGATTCTTTACCAACTGAGATACAAGTATTTTCCTTATTTGTGGAATTTAAAAAAATCTTTGAGTGACAAGCATATAGTAATGCCCTAAGCTCCTAACCTCTGACCTTAAATCTTCATACTTGGCTTACATTTAGACCATTCACCCTTTCTTAAGGCAGAGTTCACCTACTGTATATGTTGTACTTAGAAAATGGAGAAAAGGAGAAAACCTAGTAGATAAGACTCCTTCTGCTAATCTAATCTTTCAAAGAAATGTAAAAATGCTTCCAAATTTTAAGATTTCCTAAAAAAAAAACCAAGGTAACAATAAAACTAAGTTTACTTAAAATTTTTTTTTAAATTTATTTATTTTTAATTGAAGGGAAATCACATTAGTTTCTACCAAACATCGACAAGTATTGCATTGGTTTCCAGCAAACATCAACATGAATCTAAGTTCATTTAAATTATACATATCATTAAAAATCTTATACACTGAGAAAATGATAGTAGTGCAAAAACAATAATGAGATAATTCAGAACATTAGCTTTATGGAAAGACTAGACTCTACCAAGGCGGCCTTTGCTTTATATTTGCTGTACTGTTTTGTTCAATTATTAATTCAATAAATAGTTACTGAATACCTAGTGTAATACTTGGTGAATTGATACTTCATCATAGATAGACTTTTAAAAAAATCTGTCACTGTACTTTATTCTTATTTGAGTTTTCCTTTATTACTTATTATTAAAAAAAAAAATCTCAGTTAGATCACCAGCTTCATTAGGCATGTGTTCTTTCCACATAACTGCCAATGTCATCACTAAGCTTTCTGCCGCTGCATAACCAGTATCCCCTTCCTCCAGCTTTCAGTAACAGGCATCTTCCTTTACATTCTCATTGGCAGTGTCCTCAAACTACAGATTTCTACTAACAATCTGTTTATAGTGATTCAAGTCTCTAATATACTCCTCAAAATCCTTGTAGCCTTTGCCTACTGCCTGGTTTGAAAGCCACTACCATGTATTTATTTTATATTTGTTATGGGTGCACCCACTCTTAAAACACCAAAATCTGTTATAAAATAACATCTCCAATGTTTGCAGAAGATGACTGCCTACTTAAAATTCAAGTGAATCTATAAACAATTCAAAAGGTGCTGGTTATAAGATTGATATACAAAAATCAACAGGAATTCCTTGTACAATTACAACCAACCATAAAATATATTAACAGTAAACACATGTATTATCATATTAACTTATGTTATTATTGTTTGCTTCACTTATATCTCCTCTTTAAGGAAAGAGAATAACTCATTTATATTTGTAACCCCAGTATCTAGCATGCAAGCGGGTGTTCAATGAAAATTTTCAGAATGATTATCAATCATCACTAGATTCTTAGTATCATTCATACATATTTTCCCTGGAGAAAAGAATAAAAATTCACTTGCATATTTTTTAAACCACTACAATAACTCACTCTATTTCTGTACATTAAAGAGAAAAGTTCCAGTTCAAATCAAGAAATCCCATTCTCCACTTTTCACCTATTTGGACTGATAAAGATTAAAATCCTTGATAATGTACAACATTGTTAAGGGTGACAGTAACCTAGTTACAACAGCTGACTGAAGTATTAGGTAGTATAACTTTTTGGGAGAACAATCTAGTCACTAATACAATTTCACATGCTTCTCTTAAGCAAGCCTATATTTTGGAACTTATTCTATAGATATTTATACATAAATGCAAACCTTATACATATAAAATTTGTACAATAGGATTGTTCGAAACAGAAGATAATGAGTTAACCTTATCAGTAGAGAAAAAGTAGAGTTACTTCTCTACTCTTCTCCAGTAGCATACTGAGCACCTACTGCCCTGGGGAGTTCATCTTTCAGTGTTGTATCTATTTGCCTTTTCATACTATTCATGGGATTCCCAAGGCAAGAATACTGAAGTGCTTTGCCATTCCGTTCTCCCGTGGACCATGTTTTTTTTCTCTAACATATATTTAGTAGAAAAAGCAAGGTGCTGAATGCCTCCATGGGTATTACTTAGGTACAAATATTTGAGTTCCCACCACTTCTAGAATTAAGCATCGGTCCTACTAAATTCAGCCTTCCCAGGTGGCTCGGTGGTAAAGAATCTGCCTTCCATGCAGAAGCCATAGCAGGTGAGGGTTTGATCCCTGGTTTGTGAAGATACCCTGGAGGAAAAAGGACCCCATCCCAGTATTCTTGCCAGGATAATCCCATGGACAGCCTAGCCTGGCGGGCTACAGTCAATGGGGGTCACAAAGAGTTGGACATGACTGAACACACAAGCATGCATACTGAATATGGAGTATATTCAGTTCTGTGCACAAAAAGACAATGCTAGAGCAGAAGGTGTGACAAGAGAATAACCAGGAAAATTAGGAGTGTGACAACCACGATGCATAAAAACCAGTTTAAGAAACTATGTCTACTTAGTCTGGAGAAGATTTGAGGTGATTAAATTGTTATTTTAAAATATTTTAGGAGTGTCAGGTGAAAGAGTATCAGAGGACAAAAAACTAGGAACAAAAAACTCATCACAGGCATACAAATTAAAAATTAACATAAAGAACTTTCTAGTTAATCATACATTTTCAAATAACAAAGGTTTGACTGGTGTAGTAGTGAGCCCTTTAAAGTAGATAAAGTGAAAGTGAAGTTGTTCAGTTGTGTCCAACTCTTTTGAGATGCCATGGTCTGTAGCCTGCCAGGCTCCTCCATCCTTGGGATTTTCCAGACAAGAATACTGGAGTGGGTTGCCATTTCCTTCTCCATGTGATCTTCCTGACCAGGGATCCAATCTGAGTCTCCCACATTGCAGGCAGATTCTTTACTGTCTGAACCACCAGGGAAGCCTGTTAAACTAGATCATCTGTACTCAAATGGTGTTTGGTATCCAAAAAGTGTTCCATGGCCAGGTGGGAGCCTGGATTACGTAACTGTCAAGATTTATTTCAATTCCAACATTCTGTGATCTAAACTTAAAACAAGGTAAATTGGGTTACGTATGTATATTTAAGTAAGAAGTATGGAAGCTTTAAAGATGAACAAAAATGCGATTTATCCTTGTCATTTTTCTTTGAATAAGAAGACAAGTAAGGTAAAAATCTGTGATATATACAATGGGCTTATGTGTACATCAAATTATCAAATAAATCACTATAACAATCCCATTCTAAATACTGAGATTCTCGAAAAGATCGACATTATTTTCATCTTTTTAAAACAAATGGAAGACAAGGTGCTGTGAACACTTTTTAAGTATAAGAGCTACATTTTCAGATGTATTTTTCTAAATCAGTTCAAGTTCAGATTAATATTTTAATTTAAATTAAACATAAGGTAATTCCTCTTTAATTTATCTTAACTCTTGTAGAGTGTTATATAATTAATTTCAGAAAAGGCAAACCCATAAAATCATTACACACAACAGAAAACGATTGGGAAGAGCAAAGTATGTGTGCTATACTAACCAATTAGAAGAACTGTTCCAACGGCCAAACCTCCACCTGGAAATGAAACAAAATGAAGAACAAATTAATCTACTTTTCATATTATCTTTAGCATAAAAGTCAGGCATTATCAAGGACAGGTACTTCAACAACTTCAAAACTGTAGTTGAGAACAACATTTTAATTACCTTTGCAATACTTGGCTTAAGGTGCTATTATGAAATAATTACATACTATATGTAATTATACACTACACATTACAATTACTTTCATAGTATACTGTACTATCCTCCTTTCTCCTGTGATAGGACCATGCAGCATTCAACACAGCCGGCTAAGCATTCCTTTAATGTTATATTTAGCACTTATTAATAAATTAGCTCAATAGCTGAGACCTAAATGTGCACAGTAACGTAACTACAACAGAAGTACAACACAGAAAGAAAGGTTATTACAACAGAAATTCCACTTTAATTTTTATTCTCAAATTTAACAAATCTTGGAGAAAAAAACCTGACAGTTAAAACAAATTCTTTTCTGATTATTAATAACACACATAAAATCTGAACACACTCTAAATATATTTAGAATGTAAGATGAATATTTTTGTCAAACAAGAGAGGCACAATCACCACAATCACAAAACACATTTTCAATTTTACTAGAAAATGCTATTTTAATTATATTTGAATTAGGGTAATATGATCATAAATATATAACTGAAATAGAGGTTTATTAAAAATCAATTTTAAAATCAAGTTTTAAGAAACTAGAACATCAGAAAGATAGACATCCAAACACCTGACGACTGATATTTTGTTTCTAAAACCATTGTGAAAGCATTACTATGTGTTATTGGTGCAAATGCTAACAAGTTCACTTAAAAATTTAAAAATGTATACAGAAAGAATCAAATGAACTTAAAGTATAATTAATTTAAAAAGAAACTAAAAATTGTTGGACAATTGAAGACAATATTACTAGCGTTTTTTGTTTACAAGATTGTGAAACATTTAGAATATAATAATCTTTTCCCAAAAAGTTTTATAGTGACAAACAATACATAGAAAAACTTAGTATGAAAAACTCATGACAGTGTTTTTTTTGCCTTGCAAATAAGCATAAAAAACTGTTATGTTTCAAAGAATTCGAAATTTGGTAAGCTGCATGCACACTTAATACAATCTAATATTTGAGGACTTTACGACTATAAACAGAGCATTCAAAATTGTTAGAAAACAGTTTAAAAAAGGAACAAACACATTTACATTTTTAAAGTGGATATGTTATTGAATTAAGTATGTATTTTAACTTCACATTGAGATAAGTTACTTCATTTCAGCATTTAAAGCCACACCAGACTACACAGGAGAACTACAAATGTTGGTCAAATTAAAAGTTTAACATAAACTGAAATATATGTGATGACAACAACCATAAAAGATGAGAGCAAAAAGGTTCTGTTTGGGAGAAAAGTAAGTATTTAGTTTTACAGTTTGTGCTACATATAGACCAATATTAATTCTTTAATCCACTTTAAATATTTTAAATCACACTTTCCAATTCTTCACTTTTTTCCTCACAAGTGAAAATATTTAGCTAGTAATTATCATTTTGTGTATTTGAGATGAAATAATACAGGCACATAACAGATACTCCAAGTTTCTTGTCTAGTCTACTATAAAAAAGTTAGCTGCCTTTTTTCCATAACTTAAATCTTTATAGGAAGGATTTAGATCTGTTATCTAAACTTCTTTGGGTCTATATTCATGTCTTCTCAAATTAGGAATTTATAGAAGGCCTCCAAGTGGAATATTTAGAGAAGTAGATATTTTTTGTGAATGATATTTACAGTGAAATAACGAGAACTGATCAAGAAACAGTTCTCCAACTGAATGATACGATATCTCACTCAGGTGTCTTGCCCAAAGAAGTAGAGTAAGAGCTCCTCTTACCATTCTGGCAATTATTTTCTGATTAGAAACAATCAATACATGATACACTAAATACATTATTTGATAAATGTATTATCAGTATTAATTCTATTACTGTATTAACAGTAAACAGCAAATCAGACTATACTACTAAGGTAGTTTTCTGCCTGAGTTGAACAATCCACTGTTTCTGATAATTCAGGAAACCAAAGTTTTAAATCTCTCATATATTAAATTATATATGGAAAATCTTTATGTTTGGAAAATGCAAATGTTACTTAAAACAAGATAATATGAGGACATTTTAATCATTTTTATCAGCCAAATTAATATTCTATTGGGCGTCTCTTACAAAAAGGCAACTTACTTTTTTTCTAATGGGCTATATTATATAAATTCACTAGCTCAATTTTGAATTTGAATTTGAGCTAACTCAAATTTGAATTGGCCCTAGTAAAGCTGGTAATTTGGACAGTTAGTCATGGGAAATAAGAAGCCACCTTATTATTTATAAATCAAGCTTTTATTCTATGTATATGAGGTACAGTGATTTTGACATGACCATATACACAAGCATGCAGCCGCAAAGCTCCTATATTCTTCCAAACTTCATTTTAGAGCGTGGTAAGACCACATTTCCCACAAATGCTCAGTATAAGGTATTTTGCAATACTTCACTCAATATACTGAGATTCTAGCTATATTTTAAAGTAAATTTTAATAAGTTAGCAGTCATTCTCCCTACCCAAAATTGAAAAGCTTAACCAACTAAACACAAGATACTTGACATGATATATTCAACAAAAGTTAGCTTTCAATCCATCTTTAAATTCAGCAATTCATTAGCAATTTCAAAAGCAGCACAGATTTCACACTAATAATTCCTAATTAAAACAGAAATATCTTTTCCCCATAGCACATCAAAATGTCTGACAGGAAAGTAACAGGGTAAGGAAGCACTTGTCTTAGAAATTCACATAAGGCCTCCAAGTGGAATATTCAGAGAAATAAATGCTTTTTGTGAACGATATTCATAGTGAAATAATGAGAACAGATCAAGAAAGAGTTTCCCAATTAAATAGGATACAATGCGCAGGTGGACACACACACAAAGTAAAAAATGGTCTTGTTCAGTGCCTCCTCTTCCCTTTAATCATATCAGATAAATCACCAATATTCTAAGTCACTAAAAAAATAAACTTTTGGTTTTACCTCAGACCACTTTAAAAAGTATGTTTAAGCTCATCTCCAGCTTACTAAAAAAATACGGGAGAATATTTCATCAACTTGTAAGTTTACACAAGTTTGAAAGCTTGAAAATACTTTTCAAGTCTGATATCTTAAATTATAAAATTCATCAAGCTTTTACATTTTAAAAAAGCAACTATTTTGTCTTAAAACTAGAATATAAATAAATAAATATAAATAAAAGCTTAAGAAACACTGGAAAATTTAAGATTTTAAGTGTCAATATCTATTTTTAAATTTTTTTAAATACGAAGGAAAGATTTTTAAAAATTCATGTGAATAGTTAGAAAATGATATATTAATTTAAAGGGAGAAAATTCAAGCCCTACACAGTTCCAAAACAAATCTCTAATTAAGCTATACATTTAGGGTAAACAAGGTCAAATTAATATATTAGAATATGAAGGTCCATAAATTTTATCTTGTTTTACAATAAAGGCAACTCCTTTTTCAAAGCTAAAAGTTTAAAAGGGAAGAGAAATAAAAGTTAGGAAAGAGAAGTCTTTCAATCCTAGTTCTTTCCAGTGCTCTCTGTAAATCAGTAGTTTTGTTTAAAATTATAGAAGCAAAACAGGCATCTTAAAGGCTTTGTAGGGAAAAGGCAATGTAACAGCCATATCCTTCGTTCACAGCAATATCCTTAACTACCTAATTAATGCCACACTTAAAATTAAATTGCAGTTATATGATTAACAAGTCTACTTTTTCTAGGTAAGAAACATCCTAACAACTCTTGGTTATCACAGGTATTGGCTGGGCAAACATGGGAATCAAAACAGAAAAGCCATCAACAATGAGAATGGTTCTGTTGATTAAACTGCGTGAAACAATTTTACAAAGGAATGAGCGGCATTTGCTTTAAATGTACAGGTATCAATTGTTAAAATATCATAACTGGGGTGATACTAAATAAACAGCCCAAGCTTAATGCATATCATCCCACACTCCAGGTTAAGATGTGTGTGTGCTCAGTGGTAGTCAACTCTTTGCAACCCCATGGCCTGTAGCCCAACAGGCTCTTCTGTCCATGCGACTTTCCTGGCAGGAATACTGGTGTGGGCTGCCATTTCCTTCTCTAGGGGATCTTCCCAACCCAGGGATCGAACACGCTTCTCCTGTGTCTCCAGCATATGGGCAGATACTTTACCCGCTGAGCTATCAGGGAAGGAAGATTAAAATATAGTGGAGCAAAGAACTATACCCACCAGTAATTATTTTTTCATGGCAATGTTGAAAATGGTAGCTACCCTCAAGCTTCTTCAGGGCAGTCTTCCTGGATTATTATTTATTCCAATCCCTATTTCCACTCACTTGTCTGTCAAGATTTAATAAATTCTGAACAACACAGAGTTTAATCCAGTTAAAACTGAGAAGTCATCCGTCCTTCAAATATCTTTTTGAAGGATGAGCCTGGGAGATAATTTCTCTACGTTAGTCAACATGGTCCTAAAATGGACTATTTTATATTCGAGGAAAAGAGAAATTCTGCCAGAATCCTTTATCTACTATATAATCTCCTTGGAAATTCCTGGAAGAAGAAAAATGAAATATTTACACACAGCGTTCTCAAATAACAACATAAATGTTCTGGAAAGGGACAGTTGAGAAATTGGGTTAGGAAATCCCAGAATGTAAATTATTCAACTTTGGAAATATAAATCGATATCTAACAATAAAATAAAGAATAAAAATATTTAATACAACTAGATCATGAAGATTAAGATGCAGTAATAGAAAAGTCTCAAATTTATAAAACACTTCGGAGTAAGCAGTGGAAATACTAGTATATCATCAAATAACTAACATTCAATTCGCCTATTTTATGCTTTTCAAATATATTTTGCATCTACACTTAAAATTACAATGTCACAATGGCAGTAGTAAAATATCACTGCAGTGTAGGTCAGTGACAATACAACATTTACTTGTTATGCAGTAACTATAGAATATATTTAGGCAACAACAATGTTACAGTATAGTTTCATCATTCTGATGTCATAGCATCCTACTATCATTACATCTTGTCAATATAAGATTATATTAGACTTGTCACAGTCTTGAGTCAAACAACATTTCGGAACCACAGTATAATGTGAATTGCTTTTACTTTTGTGTATACACATTAGCAGCCAAATGTTTCACTTTCAAACAATGGTTTAATGAATAACACATGTATAGGGATTGCTCCAAAGGGCCACAGAAAATAGAAAATCAAAATATAAAAATGCCATTAGGAACTTAACAACTAAAATATTTCTAGACATTTTATTATTCCAAATGTAGTAACTCCTATTATAAGAATGTCTTCAACTTCTGTGCAATTTGAGAATTAACTGTATACATGCAAAATATATTTCAAAATATCCAAAAACTGATACTTATTTCAATCATTTTAATGAACACTAATTTTTAGCATAATCTTGTTAGAGTCAAATAAATAGATTCCCCAACTTCAAGCAAATCTGGAGAAATTTAAAATTACAGTTCAAGTTTATATCACTGTAAAAAAACACAAGGAAGGTGCTTTGGGTCACTCTTGGCTATTACAGTTAAATCTTTAGGCTTAGATTCAACAAATGGTTAAAAAACACCTGAAAAGAGGTCTCAAAAATTGAAGCAATTGTAGCATAGTGAAGAGCATTAAATGTGGAGCCTGAAGATCAGCCAGACTGTCATTAGTTTTGTGACTCTATTCATGTCAGTTAATTGCCATGTCTGATTTTAGAGCTCAAACACATAATTCCATCCTACATGTTTCATTATCTGTGCACCCTTTTTCCTACACATTATTTTTCTTTAAACCAAGAACTTATTTAGAATCTATAAGTAGCAGGTACTGTGCTAGTTACATTTTGTTATTCTAATGAGGAACTGAAGATGTAATGTGAGAAAGGGGACCTTTTTGTTTGGAGAGTTTCAGGATCAGTGAATGAAGTTACATATCTCCACTGAGTTACCAAAAAAAAAAAAAAATTAAGGACTAGGAACAGCCTCCAAGTTTTACATTTAAATACAGGATGACCCCAACTTAAACTCACAAGGCAAAAAAAGGGAGATAAATATTTGCTAACTAGATATTTTGAATCATTTCTATTTATAGTACCATGCAATTTAGGAAGGCAACAGAGTTGAAACAATTAAGGGAAAACATTCAAATTTATTATTCAAATTTACTGTAGAAATAACCAGGATCCAGTTATGGTCATAAAGTAACAGAGGTAAGAAGCCATACTCTTTCTCATTGAACTTTCTATTGCTAAACCTATCTCAAAAGTCTACCTGTGGGGAAAAAACTACAGAGTGAAAATGACAAGGGAAGTACAAGAACAATGTCATTTGTAATATTTTATGAAAGTGTACAAGGCTTAACTGACACATCTCACCCTATAATAATAAAATTATGAAATACAAACATGGACCAATTTTAGTAAAGTAGCATTCTGATAGGAATCAACTACTTTACAAGCTTTATTAACACAGCAGCTTTGTCCTACCTATCTAATCTGTTCAGTCTTTTCAACATAGTGGTTATTAATCAAGCATATTCTCTAGCAGCCTTCTCAAGAAAAATTCCAGAGATTTTGGAAAGCCTAAAATCTGGACTTCTTTTTCTCGTTGAAATGTAAAATAATTTTAAACATCGTTTGAGATGTAACTCTGGGAAGCAAAATATATAGAGAAAAAATAACAAAAACAAAAATACATATATTTAACGCAGATACTGGGTACGTCTGTTACGGTCAAAGACAGGCTTTCATTACTTGGATGCACCTAAGCTTTTAACATACATTCTTTTAAAGTCAATATGATTAGTTTAAAGATTCAGAACCAGGAGATAAGCAGTCAGGCGGCGAAAGAGGGGAAGTTACTTTTTTCAGCATTTTCTATTGATTCCCATCTGTCTCAAGTGATACAAACTTCTGTAGGTTAGCCCAAACCATGGGCTATCTGGGATTCACATAAGGGTGCATTCAAAGACCGGGACGGGATCCTAGATGAATGCCAAATCGTCTCCAATCATCAGTGATTGCCCTTCACTAGGAACGCACGTAAGGGTAAGAAGCATGTAGGTTTCCTGTCGTAATCGAGAAAAAGCCTGGTGGGCACCAAAGTAGAAAGTGGGAGCACAAAACCAGATCTAATTAACAACATTTAAAGTCTCCATGCAACCCTTCCTCCCCTCCATCAGACTGAGCCATCCTCTCCAAGTCCGAATGCTGAGGTGAGAGAGAGAGGGGGGCTCAGGGTGTCTACCCCGGCAAGTCCCCTCCCTCTTTTCCCTCTGCTGAGCCCAGATCTCCGTTCTGAACCGACCTAGGAGCTGGTCCAGGGCTGGCAGCCCGGTTGATACCAGCAGCTGTCCATTCCGCACCGACGGCCGTGTCCCCGCGATGGACACCAGTCGAGAGCAGCCACTGTCGGCACCGCTAGCTCTGGGACCCCTGCGCTGGAAGCTAGTGACGTTGTTCGTGCTGGCCGCCGCCACCACAGACCCAGTACTCCGGGTGCCGGTGCCGCAGGTCCCTGCTGCCGCCATCTTGGGGCTTCCCGCGTTGACCCAATGAGAACTCTGGGAGCTTAAGCCGCGGGCCTGTCACAGTCAGCTCCAAACTCCCGCCTCCTCGGCTCTTGAAGCCAATAGGACTGAGGCCTTCCTCCCGAGTCAGCCAATCGGAAGGCGCATTGCTGAAAAGTGCGTTTACGTCAGGACGGCCGACTTCTGCAAGGCCCAGGTGAGAAAGAGCCACCTGAGTCCTGGATGAGGTCTTCCTGGGTTCTGTGGGGCTAGAGGTGGGTAATATCATTAACGTTCTTCTCGTTTTGAGTGTCTTCATTCACGTTGAGTTAAAAAAAAAAAGAAGGCGGCTGGTGGTGGGGTATATCAAGCAACTTTCAGTAGGACCCTGCACTTTCCTCCTCTCTGTAGTAAACAGGATACCTTCCCCCACCCCAGGCCTTTTCTGATTTCTGAAAGAAAATTCCCTCCGGCATCCTCTTCAGGTCTTTTCTAAGCAGTTGGGTAACGTGGAAGGGATTGAAACTCTAACCTTGGTGAGTAGCTTGTTGAGCCCGGCCTCGGTTCCTCAGTGCCGGTGGCAGCTGGGTTGGATTTACACATTAGAGTAAAAACTCTGGAGCTTTGAGGCGGTTTGGTTTTCCTCTGTTTCAAACAGCAGATGACAAACTGTACCTCTCTTGACACGTCCCGTAAGTTGCTTTCGTTAATTTTAATTAGTGCTTCTGGAAGTCTTAGAGCGCCTTTCCATAAGTGGTGTGAATGATAAGTGTTATTCTGACAACCTTGTTCACACATTTAATTGTCGTTTGCTGTTAAGGCAGCTGCAAATAACATAATAGTTTTTTTTTTTTTTACCCGAAAAACTGGTAAGAATTAGATGTGTATGTGCTTTCTTGTTCAAGTGATCTGGGAACTCTGAATCCAGAGTTTGTTAGAATAGGAATTTTACATGATGAAAAAAGCCATGAATCCTTGGATTTAAATTTTGTTTTCAAAATTTTGAGCTGGGCTGGGGTAGGGGATTAGAGTAAGTAATCTTTGAAGGCATTCATGATTGACCAATGTGTAAACTAAGAGAGTCCCAAATTATGCTTGCACTAATAATTATTGTTGGTTTTGACCTTGATCTATGATACTTCTAAAATACATAAAAACTTTATGGAAATTCTTGCCATTGAATTATTTTAAATCTCAGTGACTTGTAAAAACTTTTTGGCTGATTCTCTTTGAGATTATATTGCTACATAGTGACTCCAGTTTTCCATTTTGGTAGGTTTTTGTTTTTAAAGAAAAATGTTCAGAAAAAAAAAAGTGTTACAGTTTAACAATATATCAACTGGAAAGCTTGATCATGGTTTAGGTGCTTTCATTTAGAGTCTTACCAGTATAATTCTGTGATGTCAGTCATTCAGTAAGTAGCTGTTGAGGGTTTACTGTCTGCTTGGACCTAAACTTGTCATTTTAAGGCAAAGTGAAAAAAAACAGTTCTCATTTGGAGGAGATAAGATTAACACATAGATAACAACATACCCATTAAAAGGATCACAGTGAACAATATACATTAATATTGCTCTGTAGTAAGTAAGTACTCAAGAAGACCAAAACAGAAAGTGACAAAGCACTCCAATAACAAATAGGAACTTCTTAGACAGCTTTGCTGCTCTGAAAACTTTGAAGTACACAAATATTGAATTTCTATGGATTTCTTTACTACATATTTGCTTGTTTTCTACTCTATTTACTTCAGCCTTTAGTTTTCTAAAGTGAAAAATTGTTTTTCAGCTTTAACTATAATCCAGGAAGATGTGCACCAATGCATTCCTGAAGTTAGCATATAATCTTTGGTACAACATTATCATCAGTTCAGTTCAGTCGCTCAGTCATGTCCAACTCTTTGCGACCCAATGGACTGCAGCACCCCAGGCCTCCCTGTCCATCACCAACTCCCGGAATTTACACACACTCACGTCCATTGAGTCAGTGATACCATCCAACCATCTCATCCCGTGTCATCCCCTTCTCCTCTCGCGTTCAATCTTTCCCAGCATCAGGGTCTTTTCTAATGAGTCAGTTCCTTGCATCAGATGGCCATAGTATTGAAGTTTCAGCTTCAGCATCAGTCCTTCCAATAAATGTTCAGGACTGATTTCCTTTAGGATGAACTGGCTGGATCTCCTTGCTGTCCAAAGGACTCTCAAGAGCCTACTCCAACACCACAGTTCAAATGCATCAATTCTTAGGCACTCAGTTTTTTTTATAGTCCAACTCTCACATCCATACATGGCTACTGGAAAAACCATAGCTTTGACTAGACAGACCTTTGTTGGCAAAGTAATGTCTCTGCTTTTTAATATGCTGTCTAGGTTGGTCATAGCTTTTCCCTAAGGAGCAAGGGTCTTTTTGTTTCATGGCTGCAGTCACCATCTGTGGTGATTTTGGAGTGCAAGAAAATAAAGCCTGTCACTGTTTCCATGTTTCCCCATGTATTTGCCATGAAGTGATGGGACCGGATGCCATGATCTTAGTTTTCTGAATGTTGAGCTTTAAGCCAACTTCTTCACTCTCCTCTTTCACTTTCATCAAGAGGCTCTTTAGTTCCTCTTCACTTTCTGCCATAAGGGTGGTGTCATCTGCATACCTGAGGTTATTGATATTTCTCCCAGCAATCTTGATTCCAGCTTGTGCTTCATCCAGTCCAGCATTTCTCATGATATGCATATAACTTAAATAAGCAGGGTGACAGTACACAGCCTTGACATACTCCTTTCCTGATTTGGAACCAGTCTGTTGTTCCCTATTTGGTTCTAACTGTTGCTTCTTGACCTGAATACAGATTTCTCAGGAGGCAGGTCAGGTGGTCTGGTATTCCCATCTTTTTAATAATTTTCTACAGGTAATCCACACAGTCAAAGGCTTTGGCATAGTCAATAAAGCAAAAGTAGATGTTTCTCTGGAGCTCTCTTGCATTTTTGTTGATCCAGCGGTTGTTGACAATTTGATCTCTGGTTCCTCTGCCTGTTCTAAATCCAGCTTGAACATCTGGAAGTCCTCTGATCACATACTGTTGAAGCTTGGCTTGGAGAATTTTGAGCATTACTTTGCTAGCGTGTGAGATGAGTGCAATTATGCGGTAGTTTCAGCATTCTTTGGCATTGACTTTCTTTGGGGTTGGAATGAAGACTGACCTTTTCCAGTCCTGTGGCCACTGCTGACTTTTCCAGATTTGCTGGCATATTGAGTGCAGCACTTGCACAGCCTCATCTTTTAGAATTTGAAATAATTCAGCTGGAATTCCATCACCTCCAATAGGTTTGTTCATAGTGATGCATCCTACGGCCCACTTGACTCATCATTCCAGGATGTCTGGCTGTAGGTGAGTGATCACACCATCATGGTTATCTGGGTCATGGTGATCTTTTTTTGTGTAGTTCTTTTGTTTCTCTTGCCACCCTCTTCTTCATATCTTCTGCTTCTGTTAGGTCCATACCATTTCTGTCCTTTATTGTGCCCATCTTTGCATGAAATGTTCCCTTGGTATCTCTTAATTTTCTTCAAGAAATCTCTAGTCTTTCCCATTCTGTTGTTATCCTCTATTTCTTTGCATTAATCACTGAGGAAGACTTAGTTACCTCTCCTTGCTATTCTTAGAACTCTGCAATCAGGTGGATATATCTCTCCTTTTATCATTTGCCTTTCACTTCTCTTCTTTTCTCAGCTATTTGTAAGGCCTCCTCAGACTACCATTTTGCCTTTATGCATTTCTTCTTGGAGATGGTCTTGATCATCGCCTCCTATACAATGTCATGAACCTCTGTCCATAGTTCTTCAGGCATTCTGTCTGTCAGGTCTAACCCCTTGAATTTGTTGGTCACTTGCACTGTATCATCAAAAGTGATTTGATTTAGGTCATACCTGAATGGTCTAGTGGTTTTCCCCACTTTCTTCAATTTAAGTCTGAATTTGGCAATAAGGAGTTCATGATCTGAGCTACTGGCAGCTCCTGGTCTTATTTTTGCTGACTGTATAGAACTTATCCATCTTTGGCTACAAAGAATGTAATCAGTCTGATTTAGTTGTTAACCATCTGGTGATGTTCATGTGTAGAGTTGTCTCATGTTGTTTGAAGAGGGTGTTTGCTATGACCTGTGCATCCTCTTGGCAAAGCTCTTGTTAGCCTTTTTCCTGCATCATTTTCTACTCCAAGGCCAAATTTGCCTCTTACTCCAGGTATCTCTTGACTTCCTGTGTGTGTATTCCAGTCCCCTGTGATGAAAAGGACATCTGTTTTTGGTGTTAGTTGTAGAACGTCTTGTAGGTCGTCATAGAACCATTCAGCTTCAGCTTTTTCAGCTTTAGTGGTTGGGGCATAGACTCGATTACTGTGATATTGAATGATTTGCTTTGGAAACAAACAGATCATTCTATCATTTTTGAGACTGCACCCAAGTACTGCAGTTTGTACTCTCTTGTTGACTGTGAGGGCTGCTCCATTTCTTCTAAGAGATTCTTGCCCAAAGTAGTAGATATAATGGTCATCTGAGTTAAATTCGCCCATTCCAGTTCATTTTAGTTCACTGATCCCTAAAATGTCAATATTCACTCTTGCCATCTCCTGTTTGACCACTTCCAACTTACTTTGATTTATGAACCTAAATTATTCCAGGTTCCTAAGCAATATTGTTCTTTACAGCATCAGACTTGACTTCTGTTAGCAGCCATATACACAACTGTGCATTGTTTTTGCTTTGGCTCCATCTCTTTATTCTTTTCGTAGATATTTCTCTACCCTTCTCCTTTAGCATATTGTGCACCTGGGGAGTTCATCTTTCAGTGTCCTATCTTTTTGCCTTTTCATACTGCCCATGGAGTTCTCAAGTCAAGAATATTGAAGTGGTTTGCCATTCCCTTTTCCAGTGGACCACGTTTTGTGAGAACTCTATACCATGACCTATCTGTCTTGCGTGGCCCTGCACGACATGGCTCATACTGTCATTGACTTAGACAAGGCTGTGATCCAA